TAAACCATATGCCCTGCATCGCACACGGAACTAAAATCTGAACCGTGTTTGATGCATCCTCCATCGCAAATGTTTTGCATCTTTTTTGACGGTTTTTTACACCACTGTTTGCGATTATTGCATCGCACATAGTTTCGTCGAAGGGTCTCTGATTGTAGTGTCGCGTCAGCAGCATCCTGCAGTAGTGAAGGATCAAGATCTTGAGAGAATGATTAAATATAACAAATCTATGTATGGCTTGAAGATAGGATCATGATGAGCTTATATGTTGTGTCGTGGTTGATCAAGTCTTCAAGCAAGTAAGACAAGTAAGGAATTCATTGCGCGTCTCGAGAGATTGGGATGGAGCATGAAGAAGAGCAAGTGATGACCAATTCGATATTCATGGAGAAACCCGATATGGTCATGAGAGAATAGAGATATTAGTGATCATGTCTTGAAGCAAGGAAGTGAAGTGAAGGGTTCAAATGGACTTCAAGACACCAAGATTGAGCATGGAGTAAAGTAAAGGTTGAGCAAGATACAACTCAAAAGTTGAATTCTATACAGTCGACACACAAGAGCAAATGATGTACCACACGGGATCTTGTGGTATGGTAAGAGAAATTGTGAATTGCTTTGTCACTAACCCATACTATGTGTTTTATATGTTTATGTGGGTTAGGTTATTCTCATGGGCTTGCATCAAAAGAAGTATTTTAAGTAGATCATATGAGAATGGCATCAAGTGAAGATGGTAACGAAGGTTGATAATTAAGGGCAAGTTCAAGATAGGCATTCTAGGGAACACATGCTTGAAGCCTGAAGATGATCACATGATGGACATGTGAAGGTCCATATAGGCATGATTGATGCATGTGGAGATGTTATACAAGACAATGCTTCTCATAAGGGTTATGTGGGAGCTATTTGAAGTCTTCACCAAGTGATGTGATCAAGATTGCACTTCCAACTTGAAGCAAGCGTGAACGTCAACATCAAGCTCAAGTGAAACGCTCAAGGAAAAGGTATAACTTATCAATGTTTTCCTAGTTTTACCAGTCCCATGGTGCTTGGTGGGAGATCGGATTACATGATTTATAGTCGTACTATCAAGAGGGGCTTTCAAGATAGTACTCTGATCACGTTGTGCGTAGAGTGCTCAAGCCTTTACATCTATTTGTCCTCCTTTTTGGTTGATCTTGGGTGTTTCTCTATGTGAGGACCTTGGGCTTGTCAAGTGCTTCAAAACGAGCTCAAGATCATACAAATCAAAATTTGTATGAGAAAGTTATGCATGTTTTACTATCGAGGTGAATGCTATTTTTTTGAGGGCCGAAACTTTTGGTTTTTAGAATGTTGCAAAAATCTAGCCAAAAGGGGGCCCAAAAGTTCTAGCCTATGTTTTTTGTCTGTACAACGAGTATATTCGGTCGCTGACTATATAAGGTTCCCTTCTTCCCCATCAATTGGGGTTTTTGAATTTGAGTTTTCCATCTTCTTTTGAGCTTTGTCCTCCTCCCCAAGACTCAAAACTCCATTGCATTTGGGGGAGGGGGGGACTATCCCATGGATCTCGGATTCATTTGTTGATCTCCTCCATTTATTTTTCTTCTCATCCATCCCTCGGTAGCATGACTTACTTTGCTGAGATTTGAGAGGAGGGGCGACCGTTCTTGTGTTCCCGCTTTGCATTTGTTGCATCAGTTTGAGCTCTCCATGCTGATTTGTTCGAGTAAGAGACCGTGAGCTTGTTAACTCTTGGACGCTCTTAGACGGTTTGGTGGTTGTTGCACCAACGCCCTCTTTGTGGAGATTATGAAGAGACTCGAGTTGCTCCTTTGTGAGGATTGTGAAGTGGTCATGAATCTTGCCACCTACAGAGTGGAGGAAGAAGCTAACCATAGTGGTTGGCAATTGCCTTCGTGTTGATATCTCAAGGAGAATAGAGTGAGACATTGCGGGGTTGGTGTGCCTTTGTGGTAACACCCATCTCTCCAACGAAAACTAGAGAATCGGTGGATACTTAAACTTCGTAAACATATATGTAGTCTCATGTCTCCTTTACTTCTTGCAATTCATACTTGCTACTATTGTTATATCTTGTGCTTAGTGTGACTACTAACTTTCATACTTGCTACTATTGTTTCTATATCTTGTGATATAACTTGTGTGTAAACTTGTAGTTTTTACTTGAGCTTATGTGTATCCTTAATTTTCTGTATCTTGTGATATACATGGTGTAAGTTTGTGCAACTTACTTGTGCTTGCTAGTATACTCATTGTTCTCATCGTGTTTAGCTTTAAGTTGTCGTTGCACTTAATTGAGTCTAGCATATTTAGGATTTGTATTTGAAAAATATCCGCCTAGTTAATTTACGCATTAGGATAAAGCCAAATACATAAAAGTTTTTAAAGCTACTATTCACCCCCCTCTAGGAGACATCATGGTCCTTTCAACGGTGCCCATTCAAGATCGAATTGGTATTTTTAGTTTAAAAATAGTAATTAATCAAAACAACATAAATGAAAAATCATTCCATTTCATCAAAACAAAAAAATAGATATTTCACTCCATTCCATCACAAAAGTTTGTATTATTTCTTTGGAGTACATAACTAGACCAACATCAACGATCGATGGAAATAGGGGTAGCCAAAAGGTAACTTTGAGCCGTGTCCCGCAGAAGGAAAAGGCATGTGCTCTAATCCCCAAGCTTGTTGAATAAGGGAAATGAAAATGCTAAAGATGATTTACCAACACACAAAGTGCATAAACACACCACTTAAGCCTACCTCCCTTGTGAAATTACGAACAACATCACCTAAATAGGAAATCATCCTATTTGGAGGAGATGTAGAACCAAAAGCTACCCCAAACCTAACCCTAAATCCCAAGGGTCGGCTGGTGCCGAAAACACAACTCAAGCACATCCATAATTGTACTAGACTGACACACAAGCAAAGCTCTTCCACTCCCTTTGATCACCAGATGCTTACATACAACAAGGTAAACACAACAAAACATAATTTACCTAGCAAACAATACCAACTATGAAGTAAACTTTACTAAATGAGTATCAACTTACTATGAAGTAAGATGCTGACTGATCTATCTTCTTCCCTAGCGAGACTGTGGGTCCAGTCTCCCTCCGCCTGTCGCTCCAACGACGGGAGGGGGTGGGGACCCCAGGGTTTCAATCTGGTGGTGGGTGGTGATTGGGTCAGGAATAAAGTTAGGCTTTGTCTCCGATCGATGGTGGCAAGATGATGGCGTCGTTGCTGGCATGAATAAGGTCTTCTTGTCTTGCCCCCGTTTCGGTGGTGCTTCTTCATATCGTGGGGAGGCATGTGGAGGATGGTGTGTCCTATGATCTGGTTGTACCGCTCTAGTTTTTTCGTCTACAAATCTGTCTCGGTGGCGATGTCCGGCATTGTAGACAACGTAGTCGTGCATCCGGTGGCAGAGCATGAACCAAATACAAGGGGAGGCCAAAAGAGTTAGGGAGATTAGAGAGGCCGGATTATTAGTAGGGAGTTTTATGCCTAGGAGGAGCTTATCCTTGCAAATTTCTCATGGAAGGGGTGGCGGACCCTCCTTGGTCCCGTCGGAGCTCCGCCAGTGTGTGCGTCTCATCGTCTATCTTCAATTTTGACCGATAAAGGTTGGACAACCTCGGCCTCATAGGTAGTGTGCGAGATTTGTGTTCCTAACTTCTGCAGGTAGCAACTAACATAAATTGCTTAGTACTCCCTCCGGTCCTTTTTACTCTGCATATCATATTTGTGTCAAGTCAAACATTACAAAGTTAGACCAAATTTGTATTAAACAATATTAACATCTACGATACCAAATATATATACCATGAACCTACATTTCATAACGAATCTAACATATTTGCACTGTGAATGATGATACTTTTTTTCTATATATTTGGTCCAAGTAGAGATACCTTGAATTTCGACACAACTTATATGCAGACGAAAAATGACCAGGGAGTAGGTACTTAATAAGAGTTCGTTAACTAAAATGATATCGAGAATAATTATTTGTAGCAAGCCCTGCCAATCAAATACTTTAATCAGATAACTAAAAAGAACGTTGAATGTAAGATGAAAAGCTTTCTAAAAAATATATTAGCGGACGGAGGTTGGTGGAACAACGACATCCGGCCTCCCACCCTCACGGGCTCCCAGAGATTCTTTCACGGTAGGTGATCCCAACCATCGTCCGGGTCTGCTCCACTCGCAGGCGTCCATCGCATACCAAACCCACGCCGGTCACTGACGCCCCAGCCCAGTTCGACCTTCCTACCCACGACGAGTGTGCGCATAGGCCTGGCAACTCACGCCATCCCCACGTGTTACCACTCCCTGGACCGGATCCAACATGCATCCCGTCGGCCGTGGCGTCGCGCTCGCCAGCGCCGCACCGGTTTGGCGGCTCCCCGCTCGGCACCACGCCATGCCACCGGGTGCAACGGACGCCGCAAAAAATACGGCCCGGCGGGCAGCGACCTCCACAGAATTTTCTGCGGCGGGAGGGGAGATTGGGGCGGAGGAAAGCGATAAGGTCCAGGCAGCATTGCAGCGCCGGAGTTGGGACGCGCGTCGTCTCGTCGTCTGGACCCATCCATCCATCGTCTTCCTCCCGACGATACCTCCCCCCCGGCGCCCGTTCCCACTCCGCTTGCCCGTTTCTGTGGCTGGGCCTCTTATACCGGCCGCGGCTCGGCCCCTCGTCCATCCAAACGCCATCCTCCTCCCCGCCTCCCGTTGCCGATCACCACTGTCAGCGCCCACGTCACTCTGAGACCTCCCTCTCGTGCCGTGCTCTCCACCTCACTCCCACCCCACCCCAGCTGAGGGGACAGCTGAGGAGGAGTAGCCGAACCGAACGCGCCGATATATATTGGCCAACCAAACCAAATCACAGTCCCTAACCAAGCCACACCCGCTCTTCTCGCCAGGAACGGAGGCCACCCACCTCCCACCCCATCCATCCCCGCCGCCGCCAGTCCAATGGAGCGCGCACGCCGCCTCGCCAGCCGCGCGCTGCTGCGCCGCCTCCTCGCGGCCTCCTCCTCCGCCACGTCCCCGGCGCCGTCCCGCGGCGTCTCCACCCTGGCGCCCAAGCCGGCGGCCGGGTCGCGCCCCCGCGCGCGCCCGGCCCACCAGTACACGCCCGGCCGCCCCGTCTCCGTGTCGGCGCTGCAGCCCAGCGACACCTTCCCGCGGAGGCACAACTCCGCCACCCCCGCCGAGCAGGCCGTCATGGCGTCCGAGTGCGGCTTCAACACCCTCGACGCGCTCATCGACGCAACCGTCCCGGCCGCAATCCGCGCGCCGCCGATGCAGTTCACCGGCAAGTTCGACGCCGGCTTCACCGAGTCGCAGATGCTCGAACACATGGCGCACCTCGCCTCCATGAACAAGACCTACAAGTCCTTCATCGGGATGGGCTACTACAACACCCACATCCCGGCCGTCATACTGCGCAACCTCATGGAGAACCCCGCGTGGTACACGCAGTACACGCCCTACCAGGCGGAGATCGCGCAGGGACGCCTCGAGTCGCTGCTCAACTACCAGACCATGGTCGCCGACCTCACCGGCCTGCCCATGTCCAACGCCTCGCTGCTCGACGAGGCCACCGCCGCCGCCGAGGCCATGGCCATGTGCCTCGGCATCGTCAAGTCCAAGAAGAAGACCTTCCTCATCGCCTCCAACTGCCACCCGCAGACCATTGACATCTGCCAGACGCGTGCCACCGGCTTCGACATCAACGTCGTCGTCTCGGCCGCCAAGGACTTCGACTACAGCAGCGGCGACGTCTGCGGCGTGCTCGTGCAGTACCCCGGCACCGAGGGGGAGGTGCTGGACTACGCCGAGTTCGTCAAGGACGCGCACGCGCACGGCGTCAAGGTGGTGATGGCCACTGACCTGCTCGCGCTCACCACGCTGCGCCCGCCGGGCGAGATTGGCGCCGACATCGCTGTGGGCTCCGCGCAACGGTTCGGCGTGCCCATGGGGTACGGCGGCCCGCACGCTGCGTTCCTCGCCACCTCCCAGGAGTACAAGCGGCTGATGCCCGGCCGCATCATCGGAGTGAGCGTCGACTCCAGCGGCAAGCCCGCGCTCCGCATGGCGATGCAGACCAGGGAGCAGCACATCCGGCGAGACAAGGCCACCAGCAACATCTGCACCGCGCAGGTACGCCAGCACCCCACCCACTCACCAAATTGCCTGATAGTGACATCACAATACGTGGTTAAGAGTTCGTGATACATGATACGGGTGGGTGGGTTAGTGGCCGAGCATATATTGTCATATACTAGTGTTAGTGATTGATTAGATACTTTGTCACTTTATAGGCGTTGCTCGCCAACATGGCAGCGATGTATGCTGTCTACCATGGGCCTGCTGGCCTGAAGGCGATCGCCGACCGTGTCCATGGCCTGGCTGGTACTTTCGCCCATGGTTTGAAGAAGCTCGGGACAGTGACGGTGCAAGAGCTGCCCTACTTCGACACGGTCAAGATCACTTGCGCTGATGCTAATGCGATTGCCGAGGAGGCCCGCAAAAACGAGATGAACCTTCGCGTTGTCGACGCGAACACGGTTCGTTTTCAGCTGATTTCTGCTGTGATCCACTCCAACCGAATTAATTCTGAGTTTCGAGCATTAATTTCGAGTTGTGATATTGTAGATCACCGTTGCCTTCGATGAGACCACCACCTTGGAGGATGTTGACAAGCTGTTCAAGGTTTTCTCTGGTGGCAAGCCAGTAAGTAGTCACTCCACCAGTGCATAATCCGGGTGCTTCATGTCAAATTATGTCGCAATTTTAAATGATGTTCTGGAAACAACGCTTTCAGGTGGACTTCACAGCTGAATCCATCGCACCTGAGGTCTCAAGCTCAATTCCTCCTAGCCTTGTGCGCGACAGCCCCTACTTGACTCACCCAATCTTTAGCATGTACGTTCATAGTCAAAATTTTGCATCTTTTGCGTCAGTAATCTTATTTATTTATTTCCAAACAAAAGCATTTGTGCACAGAGCACGTACTCCACTAATTTGTCAGAATGATTGGAACAAACTGAATATATGTTGTGGCCTTGCAGGTACCACACTGAGCACGAGCTCCTCCGTTACCTGCATAAGTTGCAATCCAAGGATCTCTCACTGTGCCACAGTATGATCCCTCTTGGTTCTTGCACCATGAAACTAAATGCTACCGTCGAGATGATGCCTGTCACCGATCCCAAGTTCGCCAACATGCACCCATTTGCCCCTATTGATCAAGCTGCTGGCTATCATGTATGGACCATTTAGCATTTATTTAGTTTCTAATGAAAAATAAAAAATATACCAATGTTATGAATTGACTTGTTTTATTATGAAGGAAATGTTTGACAACCTGGGCGATCTGTTGAACACCATCACTGGTTTTGATTCGTTCTCTTTGCAACCGAATGCTGGTGCTTCAGGAGAGTATGCTGGACTGATGGTTATTCGGGCCTACCACAAGGTATGTCATGATAAACACGCTGTGCTAGTTCTGTTGCTTTGTTTAGCACTCTTTGTTTACGAACCATGTGCAAAAAATGCAGGCAAGAGGAGACCACCACCGAAATGTCTGCATCATTCCTGTCTCTGCGCACGGTACAAACCCTGCAAGTGCTGCTATGTGTGGAATGAAGATTGTTGCCGTTGGAACTGATGCCAAAGGTAACATTAACATTGAGGAGTTGAGGAAAGCTGCTGAAGCAAACAAGGACAACCTGTCTGCTCTGATGGTACTGTTTCCACGCTCTGTCAATATGAGAGTTCATCACAAGTTGCAACCTCAGTGCTACTCTTTCAGCTCAGTTGTTCATTACTAAATTTTGAGCTATCATTCTGAATCTATACTATACTACCATATTAAGTGTGATGGAGCAATTAGGAGACTTTCATTTTCTTGCAGCTTCTAATCTGTTATGTAATTAAAATATTTACTACCCAGGGCTAGAAATTTACCACATTAATCAGAAGAAAAAGAGAAAAATCTATACTGCCTCCTTTCGTGCGTTCAGATTTTAGTGGTGTAGAATAATTAATTTGATGGAAGCATGTTATAGTATCCAGCCACACAAGTTGCATGGAAATTGGGTTAGCGTATGTTAAAATGGAAATCAGACAACTGCTTCATAGAACCTTTTGTGGGAAGCTATTTGAATTAATTGACATATAATGGAAGAATTTGTCGAAATACATTATTTTATATCATTATATTTTGAAGCTACATATGGTTGATGAATAAGAGTAACTCTTCTTTTAAGCAAGTGATTAAGAGTAACTTGGAAGCATGGGAAATGTTGAGTTCACTGAGGAAAGTTTATTGAAGAATTTTTTGTATCATTTTGTGCCAAGAATAACAGAATGTTGTGTGATTACCTTATTCCTCAGGTTACCTATCCTTCAACCCATGGAGTCTATGAAGAAGGCATTGATGAGATATGCAGGATTATTCATGAGAACGGCGGTCAGGTCTATATGGATGGAGCTAACATGAACGCTCAGGTTAGTTCACTGCACTTTGTTATGCCACTTTGTCTACTTGATCCTTATGCAATTGCCCCCTTCAAGTGTTATATACTAATATATGATGTATGCTGGTCCACAGATTGTATATATATCTTGTCAATATAATGAAGTTTATTCTGAAAAAATTGCGAACTACATATTCTATTAGTTTCTTTTATCTTCTTGTTATTTGTTATGTTAAAAAAGGTGATTATTTGTACTTATCCAGTTTATGGATGCTAAGCTATGTTTTCTGTAAGAAAATATGTCTTTGAGTTCACCTGAACCTAAACTTTTTTAACTGAAAATCTGAACCTAATTGAGAAATTGTGCTCTGGTAATTTCAGACATCTCATACTACTATGTATCCTACAGAGAGAAATAATTCTCTTCTACCTACTTTTTTTTACAGGTTGGGTTGACAAGCCCTGGTTTTATTGGAGCAGATGTTTGCCATCTTAACCTTCACAAGACATTTTGCATTCCACATGGTGGAGGTGGTCCTGGCATGGGTCCTATTGGTGTTAAGAAGCACTTGGCGCCATTTTTGCCATCTCATCCAGTGGTAGGTATCTTGATTTTTAATGTTATCAGTGCAAATAAAATCATATTATTCAGATCTCACTCCTAATAAAATATAAAGAACAGATGAGCTTTATATTTGGTGGCGTGCCGTCTCTTTGTATTTTTCATTTTGCATGATTAAATTACTAAGAAAGTGTTTGGTGATGATGTGTTAACTACTCGAACCATGGCTTTAATGTTGAGTACTAATAACCAAAAGAATGAATCTTAATTTCTTTTGCTTGACTTTTCTCGTTTCATTTAAAAGAAAATGCAGCTACATTATCAGACTAATTTGGCAATTCATTAGATCCCCACTGGTGGCTTCCCTCTCCCTGAGAAAACCGACCCTCTTGGTTCCATTTCTGCTGCTCCATGGGGATCTGCTTTGATTCTTCCAATTTCGTACACCTACATAGCCATGATGGGCTCTCAGGGACTCACTGAAGCTTCAAAGATTGCTATCCTGAACGCGAACTACATGGCAAAGCGTCTGGAGGTACTTGATGTTACTCATTTGGTCACACATTACATGACCTTTACTAAAATAAATATTTTATGGTTGAACTACTTTTCTAACTTGTAACGAAATCTGCAGAAACACTACCCAGTTCTTTTCCGTGGAGTCAATGGAACTGTTGCCCATGAATTCATCATTGATTTAAGAGGGTTCAAGGTACTTGTCCGAATCATTTGAGCACTGGTGCCTTGTGCATTATCCATATCAATTCACTGACTGGATCTTGGAATTTTTGACAGGCAACTGCTGGTATTGAGCCTGAGGATGTGGCGAAGCGCTTGATGGACTACGGATTCCATGGGCCAACCATGTCATGGCCCGTTCCAGGCACACTTATGATTGAACCCACTGAAAGTGAAAGCAAGGTAAGCATGTCTAAGTCAATCTACTGCTTTTGGTTGCACCAACCGTTGGTTTTTGCATTAGCTTACTGCCACATCGTTTGTCTTGCAGGCTGAACTAGACAGGTTCTGTGATGCCCTTATCTCCATCAGAGAGGAAATTGCAGAGGTAGAAAATGGCAAAGCAGATGCACACAACAATGTCCTGAAGGTAATCTACTCCGAATGGTCTCCATAAATAACTAAAACATTTTCCCAACAGTTTGAGCTTTTGGCTGAACTGTCTGGTGCATGCAACTCAATGCACATGAACTGAGAAGTTAACCTTGTTCTCCCCGTCTTATTACGCAGGGCGCTCCTCACCCACCCCAACTCCTGATGGGTGACGCATGGACTAAGCCATACTCTAGGGAGTATGCTGCGTTCCCCGCCGCGTGGCTTCGTGGTGCCAAGTTCTGGCCAACAACATGTACTGATAATTCCAAAGCCTTCACACATTGCCTACAATTTATTCTTTGACATACAAACTAATAATCTCTCTTATGCTCTTACCAGGTCGTGTGGACAACGTGTACGGGGATCGCAACCTGATCTGCACTCTGCAGCAGGCATCCCAGGTGGCAGAGGAAGCTGCAGCTGCCACCGCGTAATCTTCTGATGATGACGATCCTGGTGTGTGAAACAGTGTGAAGTTATCATGCTTCCTGTAGGAGGGAAGCATGCTTGCTTCTAAATCCCTCATGTACTGTATATATTCTCCTCAAATGCCACCTTCTCCTGTATCCTCTGTACCCCCCACGGCCCCCACTGCCTCCCCATTCCCATTTGAAAGTGAAATTAGCTATATTGGCTAGCATTTCCACTCTTCTCTGAATACAGGACAAATAATGGAGATCTGTTTTGATGTCCTAGCCATACACGGAAAGAAAATCTAGTTATTCTCAGATTGTCTACTCTTATATATCCATAGTACTGTTGATAACTTGAGCCTAAGGTCAGCCTGACTTTGGAAGGCCAACAACTGCTCAAAGAAGGGTTAAATTATCAGCCTGCCTTAGTGGGTATCATCTTACCAAGCAGTAGAATAATCTAGTCACTTTGTCAATGGGAATGCCATATGGAGAACACCCCTTGTTAGCATATGAAATGTATGAAAACCTAAAGCAAAATACTCTGCCTTGTAGAAAATTAATTTTCATACCAGACTGTTTTAAAGAGGCGAAGAATGAATTGAGATTTCTTGCATATTTATCACCCTCAAGTAGGAACATCGTATCATTCATGTCCATACTTCAGAAAAATGGCAAGGTCATATTATGTAGAGTAACTAGCATAAAACCACCACAATTATGGCTAAAATCACACAAAGCGCGAAAAAAAACACCGGCCCATGGTTAATGATCGAGCAAAGACACCCAAACTGACGTGGCACGTGGGTAACAGATGCGGCTGACAAACGTTAACGATGTGGTCAAGACATTAACATAATTGTCAGTTGTTGATCAATAGATCAATGAATTGTATGTCAGTTTTTGATGAGTGAATCAATGATTCTAGGGTTGCCTCGGCACCAAAGGCAACTAATTATGGTTAGGGTGATCACAAAGTTGCCTCGGTGTCAAAGGCAACAAAATTAGGGCCTCGGCGTCAAGGGTGGCTAATTATGATTAGGGTGAATCTAGATCTGGCGGTGGAGGTGTGTTTGGGACGATGTCTCTTGCATAGGCAGGGAACATCCTAACGAAAGTCCTACTTGATGCCCATGACAACAACATCCATGGGTGTTGTTTCCTTGCTGAAGGTGTCGGTGGGCAGCTGGAGCACCCTTGACATGCAGGCAACATTAGGCAGGCCTCGTTGGTCTCCCTCTCGGGACTGGAGCGACACTTGTCCGCCTCCTTTCGGACATTTCTTCCCTTCATGGTGTCTTTCAGGTCCAATCAAAATTGTTAGCACAAGACTGGGAGTGACTACTGAGTGAGCATAAAAACCACAATTATACATACTTTATTAGTAAAATCATTGAGAAAAACATAAACATGATGATAACCTACAAACTTGAATGCCACCAAGGCTGAATTGGAATTTATCAAATATGTGTAAACATGTGCCATGCCAATCATTTGTCCTTCATTGGAAGATACTTACTACCACAATATGAAAGGCTTAACTTAATGTTTGCATTTAATGCTTTCTGTCATCATTATATAACTCCCTATATGATTAAAGATCTGAACTATCATAGTTTTTACTAATTTTTACAAATTAAAGAGGGATGCATGTTTACTTCTCAACACATATAATTTGAAGTACATGGTATTAAATTTAGTCATAAGTTTTACTCTAAAGATGTAAGTGAAGCATAAGAGTAATTGCATTATAAGTTGTTCCGATAGTTATAAGTAAGATTAAAGAGTGTTAGATCCAATATGATAGTACTCTCACAAGACATAGACAATTGTTTCATTCATAAAAACAAACAAAGAAGAGCAAAAGAATTCTCTTTTCCTAGTTTTTATAAGAAAACACATAGAAAGGATTTTAAAAAGGGGAAACATGTAGAAAGCAAACATAGGTAATAAAGAAGCATGAAATCTAAGAAAACCAAAGAACAATAAACAAAAATATTTTGGATTTTTTTGTCTTATAAAGAAAAGCAAAAGAGAGCAAAGAAAACCAGAAGAAGAACCAAAGAAAAAACCAAAGGAAAATAAAATCAATACATATTTTGTTGCTTTGGAAAACAAACAAAATAAGAACCAAGAAAATATTTTTGTCATTTTCTAAAGCCAAGGAAAAACCGAAAGAAAACCAAATAAAATAAATTTGGAATTTTTCTTTAGAAGACAAAAGAACCAAATAAGAAGCCAATGAATAACAAATGAAAAGTAAAAAAATATACAAATGAAATATCAATAGAAAAACATATGATTTAAAAGCATATTGCAAGTATAAGTGAAGTCCAAGAGCAACAATCTCAGCCACACTCAAAAGATAAAAGTGAAGTTCATAGAGCATTCTATAAATATTCAATAAGGACCATTAAGAATTATCCCCTAACCAACATTGTGTACTTCTATTGACAATAAAAAGAAAGACAATGCTCCAAAAGTTTACGCGTGTCATGTGAACAAATGAAAACATAGGTCAATATGAGACAAACTGCTATTTATTGTGGAAGATGGGAGGCACCAGGTGACAGCGTCCTAGACTAGGGGTACTAACCATGTCGGCCCCATCATAGTGGGCTGGGCTGAGGACCCTGGATCATCAACAAATGAGCCAAGATTACCATGCCTTTCGGTGTGCTCAAGATGGAATCCTCCAAAGACTTGGCGCATACTCCAAGACACATTTGAATCGTCAGCGTGTTTATTCTTATATGTAACCGACCTTATGTAAGCCCTAGATATCCTTAGTCCCTATATAAGCTGAGGGGTTTTAGCTTGTAGGGTAGATAATCATACACTCACATATGATCTCGAGGTAGATCTAAATTAGACCAATTCAATTCCGTCTTCTAAACTAAGAAAACAATGCTTTTGATTTGATCTCATCCTTCACAATGAGAATTTATCTTTGTTCAGTGATAACTTAATCTTGCAATAAAACACTATTGCTTGGAAGGTCATCATGTACCTTGTACTCCAACACAATCAATATAATAAGAGCATGACGTAGGGTTTTACCTCTTCGAGAGGGCTCGAACCTTGATAAATATTGTGTCCCTTGTTCATCATGTTATCATGCAGCTAAGATCACCAGCTCGGGACCCCCTACCCGAGATCTACATGATTTAACTCCGACACCGGGACATCCCCAAGCTTGGAAAATTGAGTCCTCTTCAAATGATTTTTGGGTATGCCTTGGCCATCCCCAAGTTTGAGCTCTTGCTCTCCAGCATCCTCTCATATCACTGTCTTCCCGGATTTTAGCAACTTCACGCACACAAAACTTAATAGAACTTCGTCAGAGAGGTTAGTATAAATAAAATCAAATCCTAATCGCGCCTTGCTGCAACATTATTATAAAATAATAATTTAACATTAGCTACTGCATGCTAACACAATTTTCAAATTCCTACCTCACAATAGGACCAATAAAAAGCAATCATACACAATTAAAGAAACAATAACAACAATATGTTTAAACATGGTAGTCTATAAAGAGCCAATGATACATATATTTATGCAAATCCAAAAAATCTGAAAAATAGCACGTAACAGAAAACTCAAATATGTGATGTGTTAAAATTTCATGATTTTACAATGCTCCGTTGAATTGATTTGATTTTTACTAGCAGCAAAACTTTTTTCTCGCACAACACACATAAACTTGCAATCTAAAACATGCTAAAGATAAATCTTGCACTAGTTATGGTACAATGGTTTTATACAATGGGTTAATTTTTTTAGAAGCTTTCATGAAAAAAAAATTATTTCATGAGCATGAACACCTATGATGATTATTGTGATGATACTTATGCTATAAAAAGTAGTGATTATATTTATAAAACTTGTCATGATTATGAGTACCCTTTCTCTGAACATTACTCTTTTAATGTGGAAACAATTTATAGTATTCTAGTCTCTTATGATACTCCCACTATCCCGAATAAGAAGAATTTTGCTTATGTGGAGAGTAATAAAAATTCTATGCTTGTAGATCATGAAAAGAATGCTTTAGGTGCTGGTTATATTGTTGAATTCATTCATGATGCTACTGAAAATTATTATGAGGGAGGAATATATGCTTGTAGGAATTTCAATAATATCAAGTTTCCTCTCTATGTGCTTAAAATCTTGAAGTTATGCTTGTTTTACCTTCCTATGCTAGTTGATTATTGTTCCCATAAATTGTTTGCTCACAAAATCCCCATGCATAGGAAGTGGGTTAGACTTAAATGTGCTAGTAATATCCTTCATGATGCTCTCTCTATGTTACAATTCTTATCTTTTATGTGAGCATCATTGAAATCATCATGCCTAGCTAGGGGCGTTAAACGATAGCGCTTGTTGGGAGGCAACCCAATTTTATTTTTGTTCCTTGCTTTTTGTTCCTGTTTAGTAATAAATAATTCATCTAGCCTCTGTTTAGATGTGGTTTTATGCTTTTAGTTAGTGTTTGTGCCAAGTAGAACCTTTGGGAAGACTTGGGGAAAGTCTTGTTGATCATGCTGTAAAAAAACAGAAACTTTAGCGCTCACGAGAATTGCTACCATTTTTATTTGGAAAGTGATATTTAGTTAATTCTTTTTGCAGATGATTAATAGATAAATTACTCAGGTCCAGAAATTTATTTGAGAATTTTATGGGTTCCAGAAGTTTGCGTTAGTTACAGATTACTACAGACTGTTCTGTTTTTGACAGATTCTGTTTTTCGTGTGTTGTTTGCTTATTTTAATGAATCTATGGCTAGTAAAATAGTTTATAACCATAGAGAAGTTGGAATACAGTAGTTTTAACACCAATATAAATAAATAATGAGTTCATTACAGTACCTTGAAGTGGTGTCTTGTTTTCTTTCGCTAACGGAGCTCACGAGTTTTCTGTTAAGTTTTGTGTTGTGAAGTTTTCAAGTTTTGGGTAAAGATTCGATGGACTATGGAATAAGGAGTGGAAAGAGCCTAAGCTTGGGGATGCCCAAGGCA